AACAAGAGCCTAGCATTCGCGAAATAGCAACAACAAGGGCCTAGCGTGTGCAAAAAAAGAAGAACAAGGGTCTAGCATGTGCAAAATTGTAAGAACAAGGGCCTAGCGTGTGCAAAATAAAAAGAACAAGGGCATAGCGTGTGCAAAATAGCAAGAACAAGTGCCTAGCGTATGCAAAATAAAAAGAACAAGGGCCTAGCATGTGCAAAATAAAAAGAACAAGGGCCTAGTGTGTGCAAAATCGCAAGAACAAGGGCCTAGCGAGTGCAAAATAGCAAGAGCAAGGACCTAGCGTGTGCAAAAAAATCAAGAACAAGGGCCTAGCGTTCGCGAAATAGCAAGAACAAGGGCCTAGCCTGTGCAAAATAAAAAGAAAATGGGTCTAGCATGTGCAAAATTGCAAGAACAAGGGCCTAGCGTGTGCAAAATAAAAAGAAAAAGGGCATAGCATGTGCAAAATAAAAAGAACAAGGGCATAGCGTGTGCAAAATAAAAAGAACAAGGTCCTAGAGTATGCAAAATAAAAAGAACAAGGGCCTATCGTGTGCAAAATTGCAAGAACAAGGGCCTAGCATGTGCAAAATTGCAAGAACAAGGGCCTAGCGAGTGCAAAATAGGAAGAGCGAGAGCCTAGCGTGTGCTAAATTGCATGAACAAGGGCCTAGCGTTCGCGAAATAGCAAGAACAAGGGCCTAGTGTGTGCAAAATAAAAAGAACAAGGGTCTAGGATGTGCAAAATTGCAAGAACATAGGCCTAGCGTGTGCAAAATAAAAAGAACTATGGCATAGCGTGTGCAAAATAGCAAGAACAAGGGCATACCGTGTGCAAAATATATAGAACAAGGGCCTAGCGTTTGCAAAATAAAAAGAACAAGGGCCTAGCGTGTGCAAAATTGCAAGAACAAGGGCCTAGCGTGTGCAAAATAAAAAGAACAAGGGCCTAGCGTGTGCAAAATTGCAAGAACAAGGGCCGAGCGTGTGCAAAATTGCAAGAACAAGGGCCTAGCGTGTGCAAAATAAAAAGAACAAGGGCCTAGCGTGTGCAAAATTGCAAGAACAAGGGTCTAGCGTGTGCAAAATTGCAAGAACAAGGGCCTAGCGAGTGCAAAATAGCAAGAGCAAGGGCCTAGCGTGTGCAAAAAATCAAGAACAAGGGCCTAGCCTTCGCAAAATAGCAAGAGCAAGGGCCTAGCGTGTGCAAAATAAAAAGAACAAGGGTCTAGCATGTGCAAAATTGCAAGAACAAGGGCCTAGCGTGTGCAAAATTGCAAGAACAAGGGCCTAGCGAGTGCAAAATAGCAAGAGCGAGGGCCTAGCGTGTGCTAAATTGCATGAACAAAAACCTAGCGTTCGCGAAATAGCAAGAACAAGGGCCTAGTGTGTGCAAAATAAAAAGAACAAGGGTCTAGCATGTGCAAAATTGCAAGAACATGGGCCTAGCGTGTGCAAAATAAAAAGAACTAGGGCATACCGTGTGCAAAATATAAAGAACAAGGGCCTAGCGTGTGCAAAATAAAAAGAACAAGGGCCTAGCGTGTGCAAAATTGCAAGAACAAGGGCCGAGCGTGTGCAAAATTGCAAAAACAAGGGCCTAGCGTGTGCAAAATAAAAAGAACAAGGGCCTAGCGTGTGCAAAATTGCAAGAACAAGGGTCTAGCGTGTGCAAAATTGCAAGAACAAGGGCCTAGCGAGTGCAAAATGGCAAGAGCAAGGGCCTAGCGTGTGCAAGAAATCAAGAACAAGGGCCTAGCGTTTGCAAAATAGCAAGAACAAGGGCCTAGCGTGTGCAAAATAAAAAGAACAAGGGTCTAGCATGTGCAAAATTGCAAGAACAAGGGTCTAGCGTGTGCAAAATAAAAAGAACAAGGGCATAGCGTGTGCAAAATAAAAAGAACAAGGGCATAGCGTGTGCAAAATAAAAAGCACAAGGGCCTAGCGTGTGCAAAATTAAATGAACAAGGGCCTAGCGAGTGCAAAATAGCAAGAGCAAGGGCCTAGCATGTGAAAACTAAAAAGAACAAGGGCCTAGCGTGTGCAAAATTGCAAGAACAAGGGCCTAGCGTGTGCACAATTGCAAGAACAAGGGCCTAGCGAGTGCAAAATAGCAAGAGCTAGGGCCTAGCGTGTGCACAAAATCAAGAACAAGGGCCTAGCATTCGCGAAATAGCAAGAACAAGAGCCTAGCGTGTGCAAAATAAAAAGAACAAGGGTCTAGCATGTGCAAAATTGCAAGAACAAGGGCCTAGCGTGTGCAAAAAAAAAAGAACAAGGGCATGGCGTGTGCAAAATAGCAAGAACAAGGGCATAGGGTGTGCAAAATAAAACAAACAAGGGCCTAGCGTGTGCAAAATAAAAAGAACAAGGGCCTAGCGTGTGCAAAATTGCAAGAACAAGGACCTAGCGTGTGCAAAATTGCAAGAACAAGGGCATAGCGGGTGCAAAATAGTAAGAGCAAGGGCCTAGCGTGTGCAAAAAATCAAGAACAAGGGCCTAGCGTTCGCGAAATAGCAAGAGCAAGGGCCTAGCGTGTGCAAAATAAAAAGAACAAGGGTCTAGCATGTGCAAAATTGCAAGAACAATGGCCAAGCGTGTGCAAAATAGACAGAACAAGGGCCTATTGTGTGCAAAATGATAAAAACAAGGGCCTAGCGTGTGCAAAATAAAAAGAACAAGGGCATAGCGTGTGCAAAATAGACAGAACAAGGGCCTATCGTGTGGAAAATGATAAGAACAAGGGCCTAGCGTGTGCAAAATAAAAAGAACAAGGGCCTAGCGTGTTCAAAATTGCAAGAACAAGAGCCTAGTGTTTGCAAAATTGCAAGAACAAGGGCCTAGCGAGTGCAAAATAGCAAGAGCAAGAGCCTAGCGTGTGCAAAAAATCAAGAACAAGGGCCTTGTGTTCGCGAAATAGCAAGAACAAGGGCATAGCGTGTGCAAAATAAAAGGAACAAGTGTCTAGAATGTGCAAAATTGCAAGATCAAGGGCCTAGAGTGTGCAAAAAAAAAAGAACAAGGGCATAGCGTGTGCAAAATAGCAAGAACAAGGGCCTAGCGTGTGCAAAATAAAGGAAACATGGGCCTAGCGTGTGCAAAAAAAAATGAACAAGGGCCTAGCGTGTGCAAAATTGCAGGAACAAGAGCCTAGCGTGTGCAAAATTGCAAGAACAAAGGCCTAGCGAGTGCAAAATAGCAAGAGCAAGGGCCTAGCGTGTGCAAAAAATCAAGAATAAGGGCATAGCGTTCGCGAAATAGCAAGAACAAGGGCCTAGCGTGTGCAAAATAAAATGAACAAGAGTCTAGCATGTGCAAAATAGCAAGAACAAGGGCCTAGCGTGTGCAAAATAAAAAGAACAAGGGCCTAGCGTGTGCAAAATAAAAAGAACAAGGGCCTAGCGTGTACAATAAAAAGAACAAGGGCATAGCGTGTGCAAAATAAAAAGTACAAGGGCCTAGCGTGTGCAAAATAAAAAAAACAAGGGCCTAGCGTGTGCAAAATAAAAAAAACAAGGGCCTAGCGTGTGCAAAATATCAAGAATTAGGGCCTAGCATGTGCAAAATTGCAAGAACAAGGGCCAAGCGAGTGCAAAATAGCAAGAGCAAGGGCCTAGAGTGTGCGAAAAATAAAAAACAAGGGCCTAACGTTCGCGAAAAAGCAAGAACAAGGGCCTAGCGTGTGCAGAATAAAAAGAACAAGGGTCTAGCATGTGCAAAATTGCAAGAACAAAGGCCTAGCGTGTGCAAAATAAAAAGAACAAGGGCATAGCGTGTGCAAAATAAAGAGAACAAGGGCATAGCGTGTGCAAAATGAAAAGAACAAGGGCCTAGCGTGTGCAAAATAAAAAGAACAAGGGCCTAGCGTGTGCTAAATTGCAAGAACAAGGGCCTAGCGTGTGCAAAATTGCAAGAACAAGGGCCTAGCGAGTGCAAAATAGCAACAGCAAGGGCCTAGTATGTGCAAAATGTGAAACAAGTAAACAGGAATGAATGAACTAGCAGTGAAATGAGTACAAGTAGGAAACCCTAGAGTTGTGTACCCCCTATAGGCTAACCCACTGTAGCCTACACAAGCATAACATATATAATGTCTGACACACCCCCATAGGCAAAGTGGGGAGAACAAGGGGTCACAAGACCAGTCAAGCAAAGCAAAGCAAGCTCAGGGTGGATCACAAAGTCACCACACAGTCCGAGCACAAGAGCAGGGCCAGAGGCCAGTTGACATGCAGGAGTACAGACAGATATATAAAACTAGACAAGCAAGAGCAGGTATATATATATGTCACAGTACAAGTGAAGTCAAGAGGAGAGCAAGTGAGGCAAGACAGGCACAAGACCCAGCTGGGTGTAAAAGCGCTGATGGTCACAAGGCGTGAGTGCCTTGGTGAACACATCAGCAGTGTTGGCCTCAGAGGCCACGTACGCAAGTCGCAACTGACCACGCTGCTGCAGCTCACGAGCAAGGAAGTAGCGGAGAGCAATGTGCTTCGTTCTGTGCTCCAAGCGCTGCTCTCGACACAAGGCCAGCATGGCCTTGTTGTCTACGTACAGCACTGGAGGAGAACGAGGCGGCTCTCCAAGGTCAGTCAGCAGGTAGGTGAGCCAGCGAAGCTCCTGTGCAGCCATGGCCCCGGCGTAGATCTCAGCCTCACAACTGGAGCCGAGAACCGAAGACGAGCGAGTAGACCGCCACGAGACAGAGCCGGAACCAAGGCTGAAGGTGTAACCCTGTGACGACCGCTGCGTAGCTTGGTCGTCAGCCCAAGAAGCGTCCGCGTGGCCGGTAAGGACCACTGGACTCCGCCCTCCAAGCACTAGCCCCATGCCCGACGTACTGCACAGGTAGCGCAATACCCTCTTCGCTGCAGCCATGTGCTCTGGTCTGTGTCTCCCAGGAGCAACATAGCGTGCAAGAATGCTCAGAGGGTATGCAAGGTCAGGTCGTGTGCAGGTCATCAGGTACATGAGGCAGCCAACAAGCTCTGCATACGGACCACTCGACTCTACGGACTCATCCGAAGGCAGAGCTGAGAGTGAGTGGCGAGTAGGCAGAGGAGTGGCCTGAGGCGAGGAGTACGTGAAGCCGAAGCGCTGAAGGACCTGCTGCACCATGTGTGACTGAGTCAAGGTAATGGTGCGGCGTGCTCTGTCCCGAGTGATCTGCAAGCCAAGGTAGCTGCGCAGTTCACCCAGGTCTGTGCACGTGTGTCTCTTCAGCAGCTCGGACTTCACGTAGGCGAGTCCAGCAGTGTCCGCTGTGGCAAAGACCAAGTCGTCGACGTACACGAGGATGTAGAACGGCGGCAGGGAAGTGTCGGTGCGAAGAAACAGCGACGGGTCAGCAGAAGAAGGAGCAAACCCAAGAGCCGCAAGCGTAGTCCTCAGTGTGTCGTGCCACTCACGCGGTGCCTGGCGGAGACCGTAGACTGGCCGTCGGAGGCTCCACTGGGTGCCAGGAGGGAAAGTCCCAGTGAAGCCAGGTGGACGGCGAAGCCAGATCTCCTCGTGCAGGCTACCCTGCAAGAACGGAGTGCTGAAGTCGAGAGAGTGAAGCTCGTAGTCGCGCTGAGCGGCTATGTGCAGCAGCACCCGAAGAGTGGTCATCTTCGGGGTGGGAGAGAAGGTCTGAAAGTAGTCAACTCCCTGCCGCTGACTGAAGCCACGAGCAACGTACCGTGCCTTGAAGACAGGTGGAGAGCCCGGCGGCCGCTTCACCCTGAAGATCCACATGCCACTGACGATGTTCGCCCCAGGAGGGGGAACCGCGTCAACGTAGGTGCCTGTGGACTTCCAGGAAGCCATCTCTGCATCCATAGCTGCCTGCCACTGAGAGGAGTAGGGACCCTCTACGGCCTCCGCGTAAGAACGCGGAGTCGGGATGTCTAGTGCATCCGGGTCTCCCTCAGGGGCAAGCAGTACAGACGCGAGATGAGGTGAAGCAGCCGCTAGACACTGTAACTCCTCCTGCCTGTCCTCTAGGACGTCCGTGCCAAGAGCACACTCACCCCCGACGGACGGAGGACAGACAGACGCAGACTCAGCAACAAGACTAGCAGCGTAGTCGAGACGACAGCGAGCAGCAAAGTCGACGAGCTCAGCGACTAGAGCAGACGCAGCAGTGGACTCAAAAGAGGGGTCAGTGACGACAGTAGCAAGCAGACGCGTGACAGTAGGACTGGCAGCACGAAGAGAGTCCGACTCAGGGTCGGCAGGCGCAGGAAGAGAGGACTCAGGAGGAGAAGGCAAAGGGGCACGCAGAGGAGCAGTGAACGGACGCATAGACATCCGGTGCGTGCCAGGGACAGGAGGAGGACGCTGACGCGAACTGCGACCACTAGCACGAGCAGCACAGAACAGGCGACGCGAGACGAGACGCAGGCTCACGACGCTCAGCAAGACTTCCAGTAGGACCAGTGTAAGGAGGGGGAGCAGACAGTGGAGAGGAAGGCTCCAGCAGGGACTGCGACTGGACAGGCGGTGGACCCTCTACTGGAGGGGAAAGACCAAGAACCTGCTGCAGGAGCGGAACGAAGTATGGCCGAGGCCGCGCGGCAGCTCTAGACTCAGCAGGGACAGCACCAGCACCCTCAGCGACAGCACCAGCGCCACCCACACCTCCAGCGGCAGGACCAACAGCAGTAGGCTCAGCACCAACGCCCTCAGCAGCTCCAGCTCCAGGAGGACCCGCAGGACCAGCAGCTCCGGGACCGGCAGCACCCGCACCCTCGACGGTCGAAGAAGCTCCAGCTCCAGCTCCAGCAGCACCTCCAGACTCAGCAGCACGCCTCCAGCGGCGAGCGAACCACTCACGCAGCTCCTGTGGAGAGAGGGGCTACCGGCGAGACGCAGCAGCAGGAGAAACCCCAGGCTCAGCAGCTCCAGACGCAGCACCCCCAGGCTCAGCAGCTCCCAGCTCAGCACCCCCAGGCTCAGCAGCTCCCGACCCAGCACCCCCAGACCCAGCACCTCCAGGCACAGCACCCCCCGACTCAGCACCCCCAGGCTCCGCACCCTCCGCAGTAGCACCCTCAGGCCCAGCACCCCCAGCAGTAGCACCCCCAGGCTCAGCACCCCCGCGCACAGCACCCCCAGAGTCAGCACCCCCAGGCTCAGCACCCGCAGCAGCACCAGAGTCACCAGTAACCTCGACCGGGTCAACGGCGTCTACCTGGGACACACCTGAGGGGGCAGGAACCTGAGGGGGGAGGGGGTCTACCGGGGGGGGAACCGGCACAAGGAAGTCCGGGGGAGGGGGGAGGGAAGGAGTGCGGTAGGGGAAGAGACGGTAGAAGGGGACTGACTCGTCGAACGTGACGTCCTGGGAGGACAGAACATGACGAGAGGAGGGGTGGTAAAACTGCCACCCTGGGGCGTCAGTGGGGAAGCCAAGGAAGACACAGGGAGCAGCACGAGGGGACAGCTTGTCCGCAGACAAGTCGCGGACAAACGCCCGAGATCCCCAGACACGGAACACAGACGCATCGCCAACCTTCCCCGTCCACAGCAAGGCTGGGGACATCGCAGGCCGAGAGACCCGGGGGTGAAGGTTGAGCTGATGCGCCGCGTACCTCACCGCAAACGGCCACAGAAAATGGGGGGCAGCCGCATGCATCATGGACGTACGAGCGACATCCATGACCATGCCAATGCGGCGCTCAGCAATCCCATTTTGCTGTGGTGAGTACGGAAGCATGAAGGTCTGGCGGATCCCCCGTGCACGACAGTAGTCTCGCAGAAGGCGAGAAGAGAACTCTCCGCCTCTGTCCGAGTGCAGACGCAGAACAGGAAAGTCCGAGCCGAAGCTCTTCCTGAGCTGGAGACGAGCCTCGCGGATCCAGTCGATCAGCACCTCAGTGACCGCACCCTTGCTGCGCAAGGGGAGGACTGTGGTGTAACGCGAGTAGTCGTCAACCACCAACAGGAAGTAGCGCTCGTGACCCTGCCCACGGACGGGGGCTGGGCCCCACACATCCATGTGAAGCGTCTGCAGGGGAGCCTCTGTCGGGGGGAAGTGGGAGGAGTGAGGAGTAGCCCGGAGGCGACCCTCGACACAGGGGACTCAGGAAGGTCCTGGCCCGGAGGGGAGAGGAGGGAGAGACTGGGGAAGACCAGAGACAAGGACACGGGAAGCCATGCTCCGAAGACGGGGCAAGGAGGGGTGGCCAAGACGGTGGTGCCACAGGAGAGTCTCGTGAGACAGGAGGCGACAAGAACAGGGGGCAGACTCAGGACCTGACCGGGACGCAGCAGCAAGCACCTGACCTGACGCAGCCACCTGACCAGACGCAGGGACAGGAGGAGACTCAACGGTCAGGGTGTAGAGACTCGACCCCGGCCGACGCGAGAACGTGGCCAGGTGTCGGCCTGTGCGTGCCTCCGTGCAGTGGGTCACCCGCTGACTCGCAGGAGTGAACTGGTGAACCCCCACATCCTGCAGGTCCGCGCCACTCACCAAGTTCGTAGAGAACGAGGGAAGGTACAGACCAGACAGGGTGCCCGAAGGGGCAGCCGGACACGGGAGGACAGTGGAGAAGTGAGACAGGACAGGACCCCCAGAGGGGTCAGCAAGGGAGACTGCAACCGGCCGGCCGAGCGGCGTAAGGGTAGTGCGGTCTCGAAAGAAGGAGCGAGAAGCCCCGGAGTCAAGTGTGAAAGTGAGGGAGGACGAGGACGACGCAGTACCTGAGAGCGCAGTCTCACCAGTACCTAAGAGCGCAGACGCACTGGCACCTAGAGCAGCAGCCTCACAAGCACCTAGCGCAGCAGTACCAATGCCCGGGTCGGGCTGGAAACACCGGTAACCCTCATTCTCCTCACCATAAGTCACAGCATACATAGCAGCAAGGATAGCATCAAAATCAAGATCAAAGATCGCTACACCAGCCCTAAGAAGCTCATCCCAGTGAGGGATCTCACTAGCCCCAGGGAACTGCTGACGCCAAGCATCCGTCAGGCGGCCAAAGCAGCGCTGGGTGGCGTGGGCACCCCCACACTGCTCACCCGCGCGGTCGCCGGAACGAAGAACGTAGGTGCAGGAACCAGTACCCCCACCCCTCTGACGCCCAGCGTACCACTCACGAAGCTGCTGAGGCGGAGGGATGTCCCGCGAGCGCTGCTGCTGCTGCCGCTGCGAGCGCTGGCCACCACCACCGCCGCTACGCTGCTGGGTACCACCCCGACCAGCTCCACCTCCTCCACCACCACCGCCTCCTCCGCTGCCACCTCCACCGCCTCCACCTTCGCCGCCTCCACCTCCGCCGCTGCCTCCACCACCACCGCTGCCACCACCACCACCGTCTCCGCCGCTGCTGCCACCACCACCACCACCCCCGCCACTAGTCCCGCCGCCACCCCCACTCCCTCCGCCGCCACCGCCGCCACCGCCACCGCCCCCTCCAGCTCCACCCGCGCCCTTGCCCCCCTTGCCCTTGCTGGAGCGACGTCTCCCACTAGGGGCAGACGCCGCGCCGACCGACTCAAGACCAAGCAGGTCGGCAGCAGCAGCAGAGGCAACAGAGGGCAGCAAGGGGGAAGGAGAGCACCCCTCAAAGATGGGGGTGCGAGGGTCACCACGAGAAGCACCTACAGCGACTATGCTCTTCTCCGCTGCGAGGAGGGCCTTCTCGAGGAGGTCGACGGTGAGGGTGGTGGGACAGACTGCGAGAAAGTGGTCCCTGACGACGCGAAGGGAGTCAGGGAGGCGCGCGACTACGTAGTAGAGAGCGATGTACATGGGGGGTGGGTTCTTAGCGCAGAACTCAGCAGGAAGGGTGGCGCGGTAGCGAGTGTCACTAGTGCGGAGGTGCGTAATGAGGTCAGCGACAGTGGGAAAGGCAGAGAGGTCAGGAAAGAGGTAGGGAAGCATGAGACGGCTCAGTGCAGCAGTGGCAGGGGAGGAGTAGCGCGCAACTACAGCGTCGTACAAGGTCTGGGCACTCTTGTACTGACTAAAGTGCGCGCGCTCAGAGGTAGGGAGGTGGCGACGCACAGCAAGACGTGCAGCAGCATCGCGGGTGGCCCACTGAGAGCGCACAGTGGGATCAGCATCAGCAGCAGGAGCAGAAGAGGCGCCAGAGGTGAGGTCAAAGAGAGAAAGGCCGTCTGCTCTGTCGCACTGTAAGAACAGCTGCAGGTCGTCTAACCAGACCTCAAAATCAATGGCGTAACCCTCAGCGTCAAAAGCTAGGACACTAGGGGTAGCCATGGCGACGATAGCGAAGCAGTGCAAGCAGTAGGGGAAGAGCACGCAGTGGCAGTGGGACTGTGCTCACCAGGCAGGGCAGGTCGTGCAGCTCTGCAGAAAGGCGGCTCGGCGACCGGGCGGCTCGGGTGCACAGCGGCTCGGCTCCCGGGCGGCTCGGCGGCAGGGCGGCTCGGGTGCAGGGCGGCTCGGCTCCCGGGCGGCTCGGGGGCAGGGCGGCTCGGGGGGCAGGGCGGCTCGGCGACAAGGCGGCTCGAGCGTAGGGCGGCTCGGCTCCCGGGCGGCTCGGCTGCACGGCTGCCCGACTGCTGCAGATGGGGCGGCAGGGCCGCGTGAAAGAACCAGGGCGGGGCAGCTTCAGAGCTGGCGGCAGGGCCGCAAGAGAGCCGGCGGCGAGGCCGCTTGAGAGCCGAGGCAGGGGCCGCGTCAGGGCCGGCGGCGGGGCCGTAAGAGAGCCGGGGCGGGGCCGCAAGAGAGCCGGCGGCGGGGCCGCAGGAGAGCCGGCGGCGGGGCCGCGTGAGAGCCGGGGTGGGGCCGCGTCAGGGCCGGCGGCGAGGCCGCGAGAGAGCCGGGGCGGGGCCGCGATCAGGAGGCGGCGGCGGGGCCGCGTCAGAGCCGGCGGCGGGGCCTCGTCGAGGCGGGCGGCGGGGCCGCGTTGGAGCCGGCGGCGAGGCCGGCTAAGAGCCGGCGGCGGGGCCGCGTCAGAGCCGATGGCGGGGACGCGTCAGGGCCGGCGGCGGGCCGCGATCAGCGGGCGGCGGGGCCGCGTCAGAGCCGGCGGCGGGGCCGCGTCAGAGCCGGCGGCGGGGCCGCGATCAGCGGGCGGCGGGGCCGCGTCAGAGGAGGCGGCGGGGCCGCTACAGAGGAGGCGGCGGGGCCGCGTCAAGCAGGGGTGGCGGGGCCGCGTCAGAGGGACAGCGGGGCCGCGAGAGCAATGGCGACCCGAAGGGTCGCGAAAAAAAAATGCGCGCCTCGAGGCGCGCTTCGGTGGGCCCTAAAAAAAACGGTCCTTAGGAAGGACCCGCTCTATACCATGTGAAACAAGTAAACAGGAATGAATGAACTAGCAGTGAAATGAGTACCCCCTATAGGCTAACCCACTGTAGCCTACACAAGCATAACATATATAATGTCTGACACAAAAAATCATGAACAAGGGCCTAGCGTGTGCAAAATAAAAAGAATGAGGGCATAGCGTGTGCAAAATAGCAAGAACAAGGGCCTAGCGTGTGCAAAATAAAAAGAACATGGGCCTAGCGTGTGCAAAATAAAAAGAACAACGGCCTAGCGTGTGCAAAATTGCAAGAACAAGGGCCTAGCGTGTGCAAAATTGCAAGAACAAAGGCCTAGCGAGTGCAAAATAGCAAGAGCAAGGGCCTAGCGTGTGCAAAAAATCAAGAATAAGGGCCTAGCGTTCGCGAAATAGCAAGAACAAGGGCCTAGCGTGTGCAAAATAAAATGAACAAGAGTCTAGCATGTGCAAAATAGCAAGAACAAGGGCCTAGCGTGTGCAAAATAAAAAGAACAAGGGCCTAGCTTGTGCAAAATAAAAAGAACAAGGGCCTAGCGTGTGCAAAATAAAAAGAACAAGGGCATAGCGTGTGCAAAATAAAAAGTACAAGGGCCTAGCGTGTGCAAAATAAAAAAAAACAAGGGCCTAGCGTGTGCAAAATAAAAAGAACAAGGGCCTAGCGTGTGCAAAATTGCAAGAACAAGGGCCTAGCGTGTGCAAAATTGCAAGAACAAGGGCCTAGCCAGTGCACAATAGCAAGAGCAAGGGCCTAGCGTATGCAAAAAATCAAGAACAAGGGCCTAGCGTTTGCAAAATAGCAAGATCAAGGGCCTAGCGTGTGCAAAATAAAAAGAACAAGGGTCTAGCATGTGCAAAATTGCAAGAACAAGGGCCAAGCGTGTGCAAAATAAAAAGAAGAGGGGCATGGCATGTGCAAAATAAAAAGAACAAAGGCATAGCGTGTGCAAAATAAAACAAAGAAGGGCCTAGCGTGTGCAAAATATCAAGAACAAGGGCCTAGCATGTGCAAAATTGCAAGAACAAGGGCCAAGCGAGTTCAAAATAGCAAGAGCAAGGGCCTAGCGTGTGCGAAAAAAAAAAAACAAGGGCCTAACGTTTGAGAAAAAGCAAGAACAAGGGCCTAGCGTGTGCAGAATAAAAAGAACAACTGTCTAGCATGTGCAAAATTGCAAGAACAAAGGCCTAGCGTGTGCAAAATAAAAAGAACAAGAGCATAGCGTGTGCAAAATAAAGAGAACAAGGGCATAGCGTGTGCAAAATGAAAAGAACAAGGGCCTAGCGTGTGCAAAATAAAAAGAACAAGGGCCTAGCGTGTGCTAAATTGCAAGAACAAGGGCCTAGCGTGTCCAAAATTGCAAGAACAAGGGCCTAGCGAGTGCAAAATAGCAACAGCAAGGGCCTAACGTGTGCAAAAAAACAAGAACAAGGGCCTAGCGTTCGCGAAATACCAAGAGCAAGGGCCTAGCGTGTGCAAAATAAAAGGAACAAGGGCCTAGCGTGTGCAAAATTGCAAGAACAAGGGCCTAGCGTGTGCAAAATTGCAAGTACAAGGGCCTAGCGAGTGCAAAATAGCAACAGCAAGGGCCTAGCATGTGCAAAAAATCAAGAACAAGGGCCTAGCGTTCGCGAAATACCAAGAGCAAGGGCCTAGCGTGTGCAAAATAAAAAGAACAAGGGCATAGGGTGTGCAAAATAAAAAGAACAAGGGCCTAGCATGTGCAAAATAAAAGGAACAAGGGCCTAGCGTGTGCAAAATTGCAAGAACAAGGGCCTAGCGTTCGCGAAATTGCAAGAACAAGGGCCAAGCGTGTGCAAAATAAAAAGAACAAGGGTCTAGCATGTGCAAAATTGCAAGAACAAGGGCCAAGCGTGTGCAAAAAAAAAAAAACAAGGGCATAGCGTGTGCAAAATAGCAAGAACAAGGGCCTAGCGTGTGCAAAATAAAACGAACAAGGGCCTAGCGTGTGCAAAATAAAAAGAACAAGGGCCTAGCCTGTGCAAAATTGCAAAAACAAGGGCCTAGCGTGTGCAAAATTGCAAGGACAAGGGCCTAGCAAGTGCAAAATAGCAAGAGCAAGGGCCTAGCGTGTGCAAAAAATCAAGAACAAGGACCTAGCGTTCGCGAAATAGCAATAACAAGAGCCTAGCATGTGCAAAATAAAAAGAACAAGGGTCTAGCATGTGCAAAATTGCAAGAACAAGGGCCTAGCGTGTGCAAAATAAAAAGAGCAAGGGCATAGCGTGTGCAAAATAGCAAGAAGAAGGGCCTAGCATGTGCAAAATTATAAGAACAAGGGCCTAGCGTGTGCAAAATAAAAAGAACAAGGGCCTAGCGTGTGCAAAATAGCAAGAACAAGGGCCTAGCGTGTGCAAATTTGCAAGAACAAGGGCCTAGCGAGTGCAAAATAGCAAGAGCAAGGGCCTAGCATGTGCAAAAAATCAAGAACAAGGGCCTAGCGTTCGCGAAATTGCAAGAACAAGGGCCAAGCGTGTGCAAAATAAAAAGAACGAGGGTCTAGCATGTGCAAAATTGCAAGAACAAGGGCCAAGCGTGTGCAAAATAAAAAGAACAAGGGCCTAGCGTGTGCAAAATTGCAAGAACAAAGGCCTAGCGTGTGCAAAATAGCAAGAACAAGGGCCTAGCGAGTGCAAAATAGAAAGAGCAAGGGCCTAGCGTGTGCAAAAAATCAAAAACAAGGGCCTAGCGTTCGCGATATAGCAAGAACAAGGGCCAAGCGTGTGCAAAATAAAAAGAACAAGGGTCTAGCATGTGCAAAATTGCAAAAACAAGGGCATAGCGTGTGCAAAAAAGCAAGAACAAGGGCCTAGCGTGTGCAAAATAAAAAGAACAAGGGCCCAGCGTGTGCAAAATAAAAAGAACAAGGGCCTAGCGTGTGCAAAATTGCAAGAACAAGGGCCTAGCGTGTGCAAAAAAACAAGAATAAGGGCCTGGCGTTCGCAAAATAGCATGAACAAGGGCCTAGCGTGTGCAAAATTGCAAGAACAAGGGTCCAGCGTGTGCAAAATTGCAAGAACAAGGGCATAGCGTGTGCAAAATAAAAAGAACAAGGGCCAAGCGTGTGCAAAATAAAAAGAACAAGAGCCTAGCGTGTACAAAATTGCAAGAACAAGGGCCTAGCGTGTGCAAAATTGCAAGAACAAGGGTCTAGTGTGTGCAAAATTGCAAGAACAAGGGCCTAGCTAGTGCAAAATAGCAAGGGCAAGGGCCTAGCGTGTGCAAAAAAGCAAGAACAAGGGCCTAGCATTCGCGAAATAGCAAGAACAAGGGCCTAGCGTGTGCAAAATTGCAAGAACAAAGGTCTAGCGTGTGCAAAAGTGCAAGAACAAGGGCCTAGCGAGTGCAAAATAGCAAGAGCAAGGGCCTAGTGTGTGCGAAAAAACAAGAACAAAGGTCTAGCGTTCGCGAAATAGCAAGAACAAGCACCTAGCGTGTGCAAAATAAAAAGAACAAGGGTCTAGCATGTGCAAAATTGCAAGAACAAGGGCCTAGCGTGTGCAAAATAAAAAGAACAAGGGCATAGCGTGTGAAAAATAAAAAGAACAAGGGCCTAGCGTGTGAAAAATAAAAAGAACAAGGGCCTAGCGTGTGCAAAATTGCAAGAACAAGGGCCTAGCGTGTGCAAAATTGCAAGATTAAGGGCCTAGCGAGTGCAATATAGCAAGAGCAAGGGCCTAGCGTATGCAAAAAATACAGAACAAGGGCCTAGCGTTCGCGAAATGGCAAGAGCAAGGGCCTTGCGTGTGCAAACTAAAAAGAATAAGGGCATAGCCTGTTCCACGAGCTTTCCTGGTCCACGAGCTTGCCTGGTCTAGGAGCTTGCGTGGTGCAGGAGCTAGCCTGGTCCAGAAGCTTGCTTGGTCCAGAAGCGTGCCTTGTCCACGAGCTTGCCTGGTCGAGGAGCGTGCCTGGTCCACGAGCGGGCCTGGTCCAGGAGCTTGCTTGGTCTAG